TCCCGCTCATCCTGCCTTCGGGCCTCCCTGACGCAGCTGACAGCCAGCGGACCAAGAGCAACAGGGTCTTGAACAAGTCCCTCCATCAGAGCCTTAACCTCATTGTTTCTAAGGTGTTCTGGAGCTCCCTTAACCCCCTTCCTGACACCATCTAAAAGCTCTTAACAGGAACACATGGGAGTCACTGCTGTAGACAGTAAGAAGATTCACAGCCCACAGAGGCGTTCTGCCATCTACCGTTCACCCCCGAAGGCTGCTGTTACACGCTGTGTACAAAACAGACACAGGGAGACCCTGCCAGCTTAACACCGGTTTACAGTGTAAGACAACCAACGTGAATGAGATCCACCCATCCTTGTCCACCACTCAGCACCAATTCCCAAACCTTTCCTTCTGGGAACCCAACCTTCTGCCACGCCCAGTGAACCACAACCTGCGTGCAGCACACACTGCAGTTTTGAAACAACCCTCTTTGTTCTTGTAAACAAAAACTGAATTAAAAAGCCAGTGAACAAAAACCTGATTTGACTGAACTTCCATAAATTTCCGTTTAGACCCCAGGTGCTAATATTTATGGTTGACACTGTGAGGGGGAAAAAATGTCTAGATTCTTTTATTACAATCTTCTTTACATATAATATATAATCCATGGCTAAAAATTCCAACCCGTTTCCATATGATCTTGGCATTTTCCTCTATCAAACACCACCAGTCAGAGGTGTAAGTCAGTGCACTATTACTTCTTCTAGAAGATTCCCTAGTGGTGACGTAAATAGCATTTCATCATAATAAAAATGGTCCTAAAATGGTTCAAGAACTAAAATGTTCAAGAAGGAACTCAAATGATATCCAATGTGGGGAACAGTGTCCAATGACAAAGGAGAGGAAGAAAATCCAATTTGGTTCTTGGAAAACTTGATAATAGAACTTTTTTGCCCCATAGGACTCTCGAAATTGGTAAGCTTAATAACATGAAGGCAATGGTATCCAATTAAACATGCAGGTTTTTCTTTCTTGTTTTGGAAGCCCGTGCTACAAATGTTTCCATCATGTGTTTAAAGTGGCTGGGAGAGCAATGTAAAACCAACAACACGATGATCACAGAAGACTGATTAATTCATGGGTATATTTGCTATTTGAAGCTGAATTTGCTAATTGCCAGGAACAATCATGAAATAGTACATTCTGTACTCAGAATGTCCCCTGTACACCTTTCTTGTTAGGAATTCCCTGATTTATTAGTAAAAATGTAATTAGTACAACTAACATGTCCCCTGTAGAGTCTACCTTGATTTGTTTCTGAGAAACATGTTTTTATCACCAAATTTTCCGATGATGAATTATTCATGCTTTATAATTTTATATTTTTCATAAACCTCAGGGCTAAGCTCTACTTGGTGAATTTCTTCAGACTAAGGACGCTGGATAGGCTTCCTTCTGTTCAGTGTTAGTATTTCTGGTACGCAAGAAGGCTGGAATTCCTGCTAAACTTTCTCATGCTTATGCTACATGTGGGTTCTCCGGTGTTTACTAAGGTGGGAATTCTGACTGAATTTCTTTCCACATACATAACACATAAAAGGTTTCTCTCCAGTATGAGTTCTTTGGTGTGTACGGAGATTTGAATTTTGACTGAAGCTTTTCCCACACCAAGAGCATTTATATGGTTTTATTCCTTGGTGTATTGTTATGTGTTTATTAAGATCTGATTTCCCTCTAAAGCTCTTACCACAATGTTGACATTTATACGGCTTCACTTCGGTGTGAATTTTTTTGTGTTTAGTAAGATCAGAGGTAAGTCTGAAGTTTTTCCTACACTCCTGGCATGTAAAAGGCTTCTCTACTGCACGAGCTTTCTTGTGAAGATCCATGAGTCTCTGCAGCTCTTCTTCCCAGATTGAAAGCTCCTTTGTTTGATTAACTGGAAACTCTTGATGCCACTTCCCCATCCTATGTGCATCACCATGATTTTCTTTGCCTGTTGTTTTCTGGGGAACTTTCACCCGGGTCTTTTTTGATACTATGTCTCCTGGCACTTGTATTTCTAAGTCAGAAAGACACACAGGCTGATGGTTTTCAGTGTCAGATTTGACCTTTAACCCTGTGAGAATAAACATGACAATCAGCCAACTGTATGGCAAAGCGAAACTATAGGAATGGAGAGAAATACCCAAAGATTACTGACTTACAAAATACAGATAAGCAGAATTTTAAATTTTAATTGTTAAATCCCTGCAAAGGTTGCTATCAAGGCACATTTGTTCTCTTCCCACGGTATACTTACCTGAAGGCAACTCCCCAGAACTGTTCTTGAATTCCAAGGGCCCTTGAACCCATGGCTCTTCCCCTTGCTCTAGACAGGAGATCACTTTGGGTTTGGGGAGCACAAATAATGCTGTGAAATGGAAAAAAGGACGTCAAGGACTGGGAACCCAACTAGCCACTCAATAATTGTCCACCAACTCCACCGTATTTCAGTAAAAGCAAAGGACAGTTTACAGTGCATTACCCGAACGGTCAGACGGGTAGACTCTACTATCTGGTTTCAGGTTTATACTATACTGCACTGCTGGGTGGATACACAAAGTGGAGAGTGAAAATAAACCTAAGCTGGACCCATGGAGAGAATAAAGGGCATGGTAACCTATCTACAATGCCCTGTCACCAAGATTACCCTATATTCAACAAGGCTGAACCAAACCCCAGAGTCTACAAGGAATACGGGTTAGCCCTATTAGTTCCTTAGGATTAGCCCAAGTCTAGCTGAGGAAGGTGAACATCAGCGGGCTGCATGTAGTATGCACTAGTGGTTCCTGTCATGGTAACAGTAACTTTGTATTTAGCTCTTTTTTTAAAAGAATATATTTACTTATTTTTAAAGAGAGAGTGAACAGACAGATGCACAAATCGGGGGAGGGGAAAAGGAAGAGAATCTTTAAGCAGACTCCCCTCGGGCTGTGGAGCCTGACACAGGGTTCAATAATGGCCCATAAGATTGTGACCTGAGCTGAAATCAAGAATCAAAGATTTAACCAACTAAACCACTCAGGGACCCCTGCTTTTTACTTAGCTCTTGTGCACCACATACTGGATTAGGAAAAGATTCCCCCCACTCCTATAGCTCACTGGTTCTTGTCCAGATGGAAAAAACATACCAGAATTCCTTAAAGAAACTTTTCTAAATATACATCAGCAAGCTGGGGAAGTACTCACCACTCAGTCGCTCAATCAGTCTGTACTGACTGGATATAATGTGCCAGGAATGCTCTTTGGGCTAACGATATAGTGGTAACTAAGCCAAAGCACCCTGATATTTTAAAAAAATCCTTTTTTTTAAAAGATTTTTATTTATTTGACAGAAAGAGAGCACACAAGCAGCAGGAGCTAGAAGCAGAGGGACAGGGAGAAGCAGGCTCCTCGATGAGCAGGGATCCCAATGCAGGGTTCGATCCCTGAGACCATAACCTGAACCGAAGGCAGACGCTTAACCGACTGAACCATCCAGGCGCCCCTAAAGTGCCCTGACCTTATGGGAGTTCACTCAACAGTGATAAATAAATGAAGTTGTTAGTACACAGTAAATATTTTATAGAAAACTAAAGCAGGACAACCCAGCATTTTAAGATTTCTGCTTCTCTGAAGCTTCTTTAGATGAGGTAGTAGGGAAGGCCTCTTTGAAAAACTGGTATTGCAGCAGGAATGCAGAAGTGAGTTTTGCCATGGGGCAGAAAAGTGCGCCAGGCAGAGGAAAGGGGAGAGTAGAAACGACCATGGCAATTTCAAGAAACAGAAAGACCAGTGAACCTCAAGGGGACTGAGCGAGGGCACAGGTGGCAGCAGGTGAGGGCAAGGAGGGGAGTGGGGTCAGATCCCGGAGGACCTGAAGCACTTCAGGAA